GGTTTATTAAGGACTATGCTAAGATTGTAGAGCCATTCAATAGCTTATTAAGAGGGCATGGGCCATTGAAAACCAGTAACAAAACAAAGGCTATTAAGATATATCCTTCACTGCGGGTGACCAACATCAGGTAACCTTTGGACTGTTGAGCCCACCAATCATGGGTTATGCCGACTACTCCTAACTCTATTGAAAACAGATGATAGTGTCTCTTAGTGCAGTGTTGTACCAGGAACAGCAAGGTCACAAGCGGGTCATTGCATATGCAAGCCGTGGTCTGAGATCAAGCGAGAAAAACTACCCGGCACATAAGTTGGAGTTTTTGGCTCTGAAGTCGGCTGTAACTGACAAATTATATGACTATTTGTTTGAAACTAGTTTCGAGCTCTTCACCGACAACAACCCACTTACGTATGTGCTAACCAAGGCAAAGCTCAATGCTACAAGTCATTGGGGGTAGCCGCTCTAGCAGGTTATGATTTTACTATAACCTACCGAGCTGGAAGGCAAAATGCAGATGCGGTTGGATTGTCCCGTCAGCCTCAGTTGTTTACAGACATGGTTTAGGCAGTCTGTCAGTCAGTAATGGCTTCCAGTACCAATGGCTTATTGTGTCACCACTGATTCAGTTACTTCTACGGCCGAGGAGGGAGCAGTTTATGGTGGTGAGCTGGCTAGCATCGATTGGGTGGCTGAGCAGGCGAATGATTCAGTATAGTCTAGTGTTGTAGACATCTGCAGTGTTGGTTTTTGTGCAAGGGGAGGTATGAGTGAGTCGCCTGAGGTGCGGAGGTACCTTCGGGATCGAAAGCGACTTTCCCTTGAGCATAGTGGTTTGTACAGAACCACAACTGTAGATGACGAGAAGGTGAAACAACTCATATTGCAAAGGCACGGAGAAGAACCTATGGTTGGCAAAAAAAAGGGATTTTATTGGTATGGAGGGGGATGTTAATAGGAAAATAGAACAATGTAGTAGATGTATCAGGAGAGAGACTCCTGTGCCACCATGGAGTTGGTTCGCATCGACTTTATTAGCATAGAGAGATCGAAAGAGGGTTTCTAATGTGTTGGTTATAACTGACTACTTCACTCGATATGCTCAGGCAATTCCCTGTCGAAACCAAACTGCTCAAACAACAGCTAAAGCATTGTTTGAAAACTGTATTGTCCACTACAGCTTTCTTGAGAAGCTCCATAAAGACCAAGGTCGGAATTTCGAAAGCAAGGTCATTGGGAACTTTGTAGGATGGCTGGGATAAAGAAAAACTGGACAACTCCGTATCATCAAATTGGCAACGGATCGGCTAAGCGTTTCAACCAGACCAGTTGAAAATGCTAGCTACCCTAGAAGATGACCAGAAGCTAGACTGGGAGTCTTACATCTCTCCGCTGGTCCAGGCATATAACGCTACTAGGAGCGATGCTACCGGTTATTCACCCCGTAACGTCATGTTTGGGTGGCACCCAAGATTGTCAGTAGGTGCTTTTTTAGGTAGTAACAAACCAGACCTGGGAGTATTTGATCCAGTGTCATATGTTAGTAAGTTAAAAAATCTAGGCTCCAGTATGCGTACCGTATGGCTGCTGACGAGGCGAAAACAATGCTGCTCGTAATAAAACTTACTATGATGCCAAAATGCGAAAGACAAAACTCAAGGTAGGAGACAGAATACTGGTAAGAAGGGTTGGAATTCAGGGGATGTGCTCCGTAAATGCTGTTTGTGGTAATTGTGAAGTTTGGGTGTAGTTATCAACATATTAGACTATATTCACTTGGATTTTTCTTAAGGAACCTTAATGAGTATGTCATTGTACTGTAAATTGAGGATTCGGTGGATAAAAATCATTTCACAAAATCTTGCTCAATAGTCCATACTTTCATGAATTTCCATGTGTCAGTCGGAGAAAGATGGAGTTAACAGATTATTTTCAGGAATTTGTAATTAAATTGCATGATGATTGATTGATTGTATTACAGGGTTTTATTTAGATAATTACTATTATTTTATTACCTATTTTATTAGTAAATATGTAATTCACAGAATAATGCATGCCTTTTTCCATATCAAAACCAGTATCAACCCTCGGGCTTATATTGGAATCTCGTGTTGATACTGTGTGTGATATGGAAAAAGGCATGTTTTATTCTGTTTATTTCATACTTACTAATATCAAAGTGCCGAGGGCACTCAGGGATGCTGTGTATGAAGGATTCAAATAATGGAATAAAGGAGGTGGTATATCAGTACAGAGTGGCAGTAAATAATAAAGAACATGTTGTTGAGTAAGGTTCATAATAGCCCACCACTTAATTATAATTTTCAATAAATATATATATATAACAAGCAGAGTATTGCTAAAACAAAATAGGTCCCTTACTGGCTACCATTAGCAATATAAAAATAAGTAACGATGACCTTGACCCAACAGCACTGAAATTGAAACTTGTCTGATATTATGGTCCTTAATTAGTGTTTCAATCGATGGAAATCCTTCAAGGAATGAAGCTCCTACAGCGCAGACAATGCTATTTTTCCAGTGCGTGTAATCACGGACTTATGCAAGTCCCTTGTGTATCTCTCCTTCTCGAGATATATGTATATACGGTTTTAATGTTTGATGTTCAATATTCTATATTCACGAAGCACTTGGATTATACTAATCGGGCCATTATCTAGAGACAGTATTGGGAAGCTATCTACAAACTCGTTAGCCACAGCTGCTGTCGCATTGGGAAGCTATCTATAAACTCGTTAGGCACAGCTGCTGACGGCTACTTTAGTATAAGCCAACATTCTCTTTCACTTGGATACTTTCCATTGAGACAAAAAAAACGCGAAGTCTGCTTTATAAAGGACAGTTATCAAACAGTCGTTCAACAAGTCGCGAGCATGAAACTTCTAATTATGGACAAGGGGAGAAAACTCTCACACACACACTTTAGAGTATTGGAATACGAGGCGTAGTTATTTGAACCAAATATAGTTCGGAACTTTCATTGATTAAAAATGCCACTGTTAAAGATTTTATATATTTTATTTGATTTTTTTTGTCTTATATAGATATATTTTACCATATTAAAGCATTGATCATATACTGAAATAATGAACACATTATCTAAAAATCTTTCACGGAAGGAGATAAAGTGGTGTATTTTTTTCTTGTGTAAAAAATATTCGGTCCAAAAAGCGTAGTAATCTTAGATTGATATAGTTCATGATGCTCACTGAAAAAAACTCGACTTTTCGTTAAATTTCAAAAAAAACCTTTGATTTATTGATCGTTTTCATATGTATTTCATCATTTTTTAGCATTAATCATTCCATGAAATAATCAACACGGCATTTAAAGATCTTCCGCGGAAGAAGAAAGTCTGTTGTTTGGTTTTAATTTGCCCAGGCTGGGCGAGGACCGCTATGAATGCTGTACACAGCATCCAAAAATACGGATATACCTACTTTCTTATGATCTACTTTTCTTAAATATTGAAAAAAAAGACATTCCAAAAGGGGTGTGATACGGGTTTTGCGAGCTGATACGGAGAGGGCTGATACGGGTTTTGGGGTGTTACAAGACGAGGGCTGATATGGGTTAGAGCAATAGTGTCATATTGCATATACAACAACCCCATTTTTATTAGTAAGTATGTAATAAATCTCATATATACCCGGGTTACATATATATACATGTATATATCTATATAAAAATCCGTGAACGTGTTATGCCGTTATGTTTGTTGTTTTAAACAAATGTACAAAAGATCACTGAAAGTCTACCTTCGATGTTAACAAACTCACATACATAAATATACTTAACCCTGCATTATTGTTTTTTTTTCAAATCTAGGGCAAACAACTACATTCAAAGGATCCCTGTCCTTCTGCAGACAAAATACTAGCGAATCCTGGCCACTGTGTTAAGTACCGTTCTTTTTTTGTATAACTGTAACGCAGCCAGTTGGACTGATATTCATTCTTCGGTAGGTAGCTCAGTTCAAAAAATGACTGTATAACAATTTAAGTCCCAGGGATTGAATCCAGGTCTGGTCCTGCAGAATATTTACAATCATTACGCAATTTAATCGTTATTTATTTATACATTTTTTCATCAAAATCTAGCAAGGAATGGTTTTCTTTTCAGTAAAGATTTATCAAAGCTATGAAAGTAGTGATAAACAAACATCTGTAAAGTAGTGATATACAAACATCTGTAAAGTAGTGATATACAAACATCTGTAAAGTAGTGATATACAAACATCTGCAAAGTAGTGATATTCAAACATCTGTAAAGTAGTGATATACAAACATCTGTAAAGTAGTGATATACACACAGCTGTAAAGTAGTGATATACAAACATCTGTAAAGTAGTGATTTACAAACATCTTTAAAGCATACTGTATTTGACATGCCCATCGAGTGTAAATAAAACGGATGTTCCATGTGAGACCTTCAATTGTGCTGTTTGTACATATGTGGTTAAATCATCCAGTAACAGCCTATGACTGAACACAATTAAAAGAATATGCTTTGACTTATATTTATGATTATAAATATATATTCAAAGGATTGTCCATCTTATGAGACATCTTAAGGACTAAATGTGTTTAACATTTATATTTTATGTTTTAATTGTTCTCAATAATAATAATGTCATACTCCGGTATTGTTTCCTTGTTGAACAGTTTCAAGTATCAGTAATACATAACCTCTGGTTTTGATTAAAAAGGAGAGATTGTAGCGATGTACAAGCATCTTTAAAGCATACTGTATTTGACATGCGCAGTGTGTTTGAATAAACCGGACGTTCCATGTGAGACCTGCATTGGTGATGTTTGTACTTTGTGCAGACGTGGTTAAATGTGTTCCATCAAGCAACATCCTATGGCTGAACACAAGAATAGAGATGCCTAAAAATACGGTTTCTAATGTGTCATTACAAATTAATCATTTGGTCATGGAAAAAATGGAAAAAAGGCTGCCTCACCAGAGTCACTTACCCCTGAGAGCTCATGATGTTTAATAACTTTTCAAATGTAGGTTGATTCTTCTCACAACAGCTAGGAAGAGTTATGTTCTATTTCGGGTTCGCACGGACTTAGATCTGGAAAACAATTATTTTTGTCATACACTCTGTGAATAAGCATTTAAGATGCATTTAGTAAGTCATTAAAGAAGTTCAAACTATTCAAAAAAACAGATAGAAAAATGGTAAAAGAGCCGTAATAAATTGCGATGATTTTTGCGAATTAACAGATCATTTATTCATCAACAAGCATTTAGAGGATATAGTCATAAAACAAATACCATCTATAATTTGACACACTGAGCCAAACAAAACGAACGGTTACAGCGACATATAATGCATTTTGTTATTATGCATTTACTTTGTTTTGATATATTCAGCTTTTACAATTCGTTTTTATCATCTGAGGCAGTTCTTTTGTCTAAAGACTATTCGGGGGATATACACCTAACAAACATCAGTACAATATTATTAAAGCCTTATTTAACCAAATTATTTTGAGTCCTATCAAAATAAAGCTTGAAGTAGTCCTTGTTGTGCTTTTTGCATTTGTCATTGTGGGGGTTGTAAAGCAGTTTTGTGGTGTTGGTTCCTGCAGCATCATAGACAGGTAGGGGAGTCGCTTTTCTCTTTCCCTGGACAGTTGCATCCACACTATTCCGCGTGTGAGACATCCTTTGCGCTTACCCTGGACATGTGTATCCACACTTTCACCGGTGTGAGATATCCTTGTTTCACCCTAGATTTAAGACGGGGCATTCCCCTATTTATAACAATGGTATGCCGTCAAGTAAACAATACAATGACGTCACATCAATAATCCATCAACGTCACGTCAACCCTGAATTAAGCCTGTAACGCAAATATTACTTGACGTATATGATACGCAACGGGAGAACAGGGTGAGAGAAAAATAATAATTCACTCCGTTCAGGATGAGATAGGGAAATCTCAACTCTCGGGAAAGATTCTTAAGTTGCCAAACACTCGACAAAACCTCCCCCCCACCTCCTGTGGTTGCAATGCGAGAGATTATTTTAATCTCATCCTAGGTATTCCCATATTCAGAACAATTGTATAACGTCTTGTCAACAACGTCAAATAAACCCTGCATTTGGCCTGTAACGTTAATATTATATTATGTATATGATATGCAATGAGTGAACAGGGTAAGAGAAAAAGAATCATACGCCCCTTGAGGTGAGATTGGGAATATGATGCTCATTATACACAATAACATTAGAGGTTTGCTCCCAGGCGTGGGAAATAGATGTTAAGTAATGTTTGAAAGTTTCAGAGGAACGGCGCGTAAGAAAAGAGTTGCTTTATTAAATTTCTTAAAGATTGAAAGAGGTTGACTAAATGGGGCAGGCAGCTGTTAAACACATTGTGACTGCTTGCTATAAATCACACAATGAGAAATGTCAATTTGGTTGCAATGGAATTGATATGTAATGAAAGAAATTATAGTCTGTTGAATGATATACATCTGCGTGTTGCATAACTCACCAAGGTGTGGTGTAATATTTCTTTTATTTAGTGTGTAATTTAATATATTTATGGATCTACATTTGCATAAGCCATTATATGTGCAAGTATCAGGTACGCTGGAATAGGATAGCAATTCCAAAGAAATTATATTCTTTTCATATTTAAGTGTGTTCCATCAAATTTGTGAAAGTGAGAACGTTTTGAAATAATTGAATGGCCCAGGTTTAGTCGTGACACATGAACAGTGATCCAGAAAAAACCGCCCACATTATAATCATAATGTGTGAAAGAGGCTGTAACTATGAGCCATGGTGCTGAACACAGCCACCAACTAATGCAAGCTCATCATTTATAGGTCTTGTGTAGGTTCTAAAACGGGGGGATCAGGGCGAGATTTGGACACAAGGCACTCTGTTTCTGCTGCGATTGTCCATCCATAAGTACATAACCTTATGTACAAACAAATAAAAACACTCATTTGTTCTGTGTAAGTGACTCCTTTGTAGAGGTACTGTCTATCTGTAAATAGTCTAGAAGTATTGCAATAGGACTAAAGAGGCCGACATTAATGTTTGCCAAGAGCACGTAATTTCATTGTTGTTAGACATAAAAGTATTTATTACATACTTACTAATAAATACGTTTTTTTTGTATATGCGATACGACACAATTGCTCTAACCCATATCAGCCCTCGCCGTATCACACCCCAAAACCCGTATCAGCCCCCGCCGTATCACAACCATAAACCCATATCAGCCCGCAAAACCCATATCACACACAATTTGGAAAACATATCGTTTTTCAATATTTCAAAAATGAAAATAAATCATTCACTGCATACGGATACAGGATATTTTTATCCAAGGAATGGCTTAACTGCTCCTCTATGGGTTTGTATTATTTTAAGAAATACCACCTTTTTATCATCCAGGAATTGATTGTTTTAGGGGAAAGTCCCATTACGCATTACCAACGGTTTCGATTTTTGTAGGGAATTTTAAAGCGTTTTTAATGTTTGTATTTTTAAGCTAATTTCTGTGATAAAAAACGACTCAATTGAAAGGGAAATATATGTATATATGTATACATTTATTTATCACATAACTGACTGATTTTATTATGGCATACGAACATGTCATAATATCGTATTACACACGTGTAATAAGATCTCAATGTGCGACTTTTGGTCAAAACCATGGAAACATATTACTACGGCACTGCAGGTACTAGTTTGATTTACTATAATTTTTTTATACATTTAGTATTATTTTGAACGAATTGGAAATGGTCATTTAATCTGTTCAGTATTCAAAAAAATACAAATATGGACCTACTTTGCACTGCGCGGAGATACAATGCTATGATTAGAGTACTTAGGCTTTTACCTATATATATAAAGTCAGCTTATAATTGCGTTTGAATTATTTTTTCAGGTAATAAATTCTTGTCCATGTCATATTGAATTGATTAAACTCGTTTAATAATTTGATATGACACTCGCCTAAATCACTCGTTTAATAAATTCAATATGACATCAACACGCATGTCATATCGTTTATTTGTACTATATAACTGTCTTGTAACGGACTTAATGACAGGATTATCTACATGTAGAGAGATAATATAAACAACAACAAAACGGCAATTAGATATCAGATATAACACAAGCATGTGGCGAAGCTCCTTGTCTTTCTCGACAACACTATCCCTAGAATACAAATAACTCTTAGCTAACTGTACGGAGGTCCCTTAATAATCTTAACCGAAATTAAAACATTTAATGCCACAATAACACGGTAAAAACACCAATGCATCCGCCCAAAGCTATCAAGGCTTCGTCGGTGTGACTTAACAATTTAGGCAAAGAGTAACCATACGAAGCACCTATCTCTGTCACGCTATCCTTTAATGAATTTAAATAGTTGAAGCTAAACATGTACAAAATTGTCTTATACAGCCCCTTCTATAATGAAGATGTTTATTATTAAATATCATTACATGTAGTTTTAATAACAGTTTCAATGAATTGTAAAATTGCTTAATAATCTATATTAATAAATTTCTGTTTGACTTGTCGAATAGATACATTCGTGTGAAAGAGAGTGGAGATACTTTTACCGGTGCATTTCTTGATCCCATAAAAAGTTATTATCATAATAGCATCACTGAACTTGAATAGCTACATTCAGTAGAAACAGTATGATTTGAACAAAAAAGCAATAACATACATGTATATACATGCTCTATGTATTAAGCAGAACATGACTGGTAAGCCGACGCACGATGACATCAAATATCATATTGCCTACCGCTTATATACACTGTAGGAAAGTACTCAAATGCACTAAAAGTAGAAATTAGTGTACTACACTACATTACAATTCCCTGATTCAACAAATGTCAATCTTCGGCGTTTTTGAATAAGATTTTTTGATATCTCAACTTTACTAAAAATATATCATTTTGAACGGAGGCAAATGGTGAACAAGAATTACTGAAGCAATATTTGACTCTCGTTTGTAATCACGATACCACTATGAAATCATTGCAAAAAGTTGTACTTCTATTAAACTAACCATACTCTATATCTATCTTTGCATTATCAAAAATGGATAGGAACCCAATATTAAATTGAAAGAGGCCATCTCCAACGAACTACAAGACGTGAATTATTTGTTAACAAAGCAGTCGCAAAGGAGGAAAACGTGACTCAAGCGCATATGGTGTGGAAACACTTAAAAAAGTTGCATCAAAGAGATTCAATTAATGTGACCGAAAAAATCCAAGAGACATTCGAACGTCTGAAAACAGATCAATGGTTGCTGACATAAAAACTGCTATGCTGATTTAACTGACATTATTAAAATAGCAAGATTAAAATCAACTAACCAAAGTATACATGAGACACCATCATCACCGCAGACCACTAGTAAGGCCAGACGCAGCACATCGACTCCAGCCAATTGGAAAGTGTGAATCTGATGTCTGTGCCTAAAGAGCATCTTCATTCAGTCATTACGATGGACACAAGCAGTCGTACAATCAAAGCAGCACCGCTAGACATTATAGTCGGCTCCAGTTTTGCTGGTGTACATTATTTAATAACAGCAGTAGCAAATTACCACCTTACTTATTAAAACGCTTTTCAGAGATCGACAAAAAAAACCAGCTTGATTCAGATACAGATACCCACGCCATTGCTGTGCATCGACTTGCAATGTGCTGCTGACAATGGCCATGTGCTTAAAATGAGTGATGTATGGGATCTTTACATAGAACTTGCAAAAGATACTTCATCAAGAGGTCTCTCGAGAACAGAACAACATCATTACGACAGAAGTAGCAATCACCTGTTAGTGATTTCATAACTTTTGTAAGACTTGAAGAATGTGACAAAGGAAATATCATTTTACTGATACCTTCAATGTTTTCTGGTGCAGCAATTTCCAAATGTGCGTTTTCAATGAATAAACGGGAGACTATCTTAAGAATACCTCGATTTGAGCCTGATGAAGATATAAACTTATATTTTGTATCCTAAACCAAGTCATTCAGGATTTTGTGTAAATGACGAAAAAGCCTTAAAATGTTTATCAGTCAGCTTGTATATATTTCTGCGCCTTTTATATGGTTGGCCTTGTCAACTTGAACCTGACACTAATGAAAACGAGCCTGATAGGAAAAAAAGTCTAAGTATTGCACAGGATATCACCTATGGTGTGAGTCGTTATTCAAAGCGGTCACCAGAACAAAATAGTACTTGCTAGCACCGTACATCAGGCTACATGGTCGAAACTTGTGAAGTCGTTTCATGAAGCAGGAAATGTGTTGCGCTGTAATCATATTCACCAGTTGGATACATCACTAGCAAAAAAGTCTGTTTAGTGACTATCCCGTGAAGGCTCCTTGATACCCCCAAACATAGTCCAAAGCAAGTTTGTTCACTATACTGCGGACAACATCGAGGAGACGTTAGAGTGAATGATACATTTCACTTATGGTAGCATGGCAGCGTGGATCTTTTTCGCCCGATAGTATTATATCATCAAATAGAAAGAAACTGGATGTACCATCATCAACGGAGAGTCTTACCATGGCATGTAAGCCAAAGACTAGAGCAGTACCTATGTTCAGAAGGCCACCAAGAAGGTTTGGTATCAGCAAAATGAAAGTGGTGTGTCTGAAAGAAAAGCAAAATCAGCAGATTCAACTTTCAATAAATAGAGACAAATTTAGGTTTTGTTTTTACACGGACAGCCCAGTTGTCCAGTGATAATTTGATTTGAGTTCATTTTAACTTGCTTAACAGCTTGGGGTTATAAGTGTTTTCAACATGTTACGATAAGATCCATCAAAGTGGTTAACATTTTTGATAATTTCGCTGGTATTTAGAATTCGCAGATATTAGTCAAAGCGCGAATATAGCGAAATTAATACCTCCGCGAAATACAACCGCTATACAGTACTGTATCGACAACATAAGGATAGGAGCTTCATTACAAATTGAAACTTATGTCCTATCCAACAGCAATGCTGATTCATCTGTGGTAGCCATTTCAACAAGATATTGTTTAAGTCATGTGTGTTCCATTGCACATGGTTTCTTGAAAAAGATACAGAAAAAAGATACCAAGAGCAAAATTCAACATGATAAACTGACGAGAAATTTCAAATAAAAATGGCGGCCATCTTGGTTTTCGTGAAAAATGGCCCTTTTAACCCAGCAATAATATTTTTTTAGACACCTTTTTAATGTTCATTCCATGTATAAAAACCTTATGCAAATTAAGGCAACCATTTTCTTGACAATTTTGATCTCTTTTACAATAGAAACCCAGCTTTGTAACACCCATTTCCAGATTCAACACCCAAGAGTTAAATAAAAAGATATTATGGTACCCAACAATTTTGAGATATACACAGAGAAATATTTTTTTACTGAAATGAGGCCTTGTCTAGTTTGGCTGACGCCAACACGGGACACCATCTTAGAGATATTGTACAAGTTTTCTCTATATTAAGTATATTTGCATAGCTGATGTAGACTTTTACCCATAGCTCAGTCAAGAGGTGGAACAAAAATGAGGCGGTCATTATGTAGGTCAAGGCGGGTTTTAGATTATCAGTATTTTAAAGGATGTGTCTGGAGTTCGATTTTTTTCATCGCGAGTAGATGTAGAGCCACCGTAAATGTCATGAATTCGTTTTGTGTTTTATTTTGCACAATGTTTTATGACTGGGCAATGTTGTGGGTTACATTCAAAACGGATATCTCAGGTTACTGTGAATTGTAATTGTGTAATATTAGGTTTCATTCAGAGCGGATTGTGCGACAATTGTACAGTGTTTTGTTCGTTAAGGACACCCGTACCGTGTACTCTGTCGTTATGTTATCACTACTCTAGTTCTCGCTAGTGATATTACTTAGATTCGACCTAGAATTACGAGGCGGGTGCCGCCGATGAAGCAGAACACGTTTATCGTCCGGAACACCTTGTCTTATTGTTCTTGGGCTTTTTTCATGAGACTTTGTGTTACTTCTTTTGCTGATATTTTGAATAACGAACTAAATGTTATAAAATAAACCAGCAGGACCTGATTGAAAGTTACCTAAAGTCATAAAAAAAATCTTCCTTAATACTCCCAGTTACAATTTTGTTTAACACAACTGTATCTAACGGGTGTAAACCTGAGCCATGGAAGATGAATAAAGTTAGTGATGTGTATTAAGGGAATGGGTTAAAAATAATTACTCCAATTATCGACCAATATCTATAACATCATGTTTTAGTAAAATCTTAGAAAAAATAATATTCCAATATTTAAATAACTATTTAACAACTAATTATATACTTTCCAATGACCAACCAGGCTTTAAACCAGGTGATTCAACAGTAAACCAACTTCTCTCTATATACCAAAACCATAATTAGCAAGTTGTATAAAGGGAAAGAATTCAGGTTTGCATTTCGCGACATCAGCAAGGCTTTTTACAGAGTTTGGCACAAAAGGTTAATACATAATCTTAAAGTATATTGCATTTCAGGCCATGCTTTAATCTGGTTTGAAAATTATCTTGAAGATAGAAAACAGAGAGTACTAACTGAAGGTCATTTTTCTACTTTTAGGGTTGTTAATGCAGGTGTTCCTCAGGGATCAGTTCTCGGTCCTTTTTTAGCTCACCTGCCCGAAGGGCAAGTGAGCTAATGCCGTACCGCAGCGTCCGTCGTCCGGCGTCAACTTTTCCCTTTAAAAGCCTTTATCTCCTGAACAACTGATTGGATTTTAACTAAATTTGATATGAGGCATCCTTGGGACCAGGGGCTTAATATATTTATAAAATAAGGGTGTGACCCCCTAGGGGGCTGAGTTAGGGGCCACAAAGGGGATAATTTAGAAAAGAATAAAAAATCTTCTTCTCCAGTTCTAGAAATGCTAGAATCAAATACTACTCATAGCTGTAAAGGCCTTTGGGTGGTTTATAAAATTTGTGATTTTCATGTCTCTCAGAGCCCCCGTTTGCCCCTGAGAAGGGAGTGAAGTTTTGTATAGTTTATATAGGAAATAAACATAACAGGCCATATCTTCCATTGTTTTAAACGGAAGTTGTTCATATTTGACAGAAGTTCTTGTTAGGGGAGGGGGTCTGCAGCTAAAAAAATTATGAGCCTGACCCCCTAGGGAGCTGAGTAAGGGGCCAAAAAAAAGGGGGGGGGGATTTAGGGAAATTTCAAAAATCCTCTTCTCCAGTTCTAGAAATGCTAGAATCAAATACTACTCATAGCTGTAAAGGCCTTTGGGTGGTTTATAAAATTGGTGATTTTCATGTCTACCCTACATGTCTGAAGTGGTTACAAATTGGCATTACAGAGCAAATATAAATATTGTACCATGATTGCTTAAATAACCAGGTGAGCGATACAGGCCCCCTGGGCCTCTTGTTTATTTCTGTTATATATTAATGATATCACTGATATAGTCCAGAGTAACATTGAGCTTTTTGTAGACGATACATCATTATATGTCAATGTAGACGAAAGCCCACAAGTAGCAGCAGATTATCTTAACCAAGACCTACATAGAATTAACTACTGGCTAGTACATGAGATATTAAATTTAACCCCTCTAAAACCAAATCACTAACTTTGCCTTGAAAACAATACCCTATCCATCCTCTTATTTATTTCTCTAATAAGTATATAGAGCATGCTCACAAACATCTGGGATTTTTTTTTCACTTGGTCTACCCATGTTCAATTAATATATGAAAAGGCTAGTGAAAGAATAAATATGCTTCCGTACCTGAAATATAAGATTAATAGGAAATCACTATGCAAAATATATACAACATTTATCCGTCCAAAAATATTAGAATCTGTACAACTTGAAGCTGCGATGATTAGATGATTATCACAGGCCTAAGGAAAGGTACATCATACCAAACTCTATATAAAGAAATAGGCTGGGAACCTCTGTCTGATCGAAGGATGAATCATATGCTAATTCAGATGTATAAAATAAATAATAATTTATCGCCCACATACCTCCATTACATGAGTGATTCTCTTATTCATAACCCAGAAAATGATAGGTATACTCCAGGAAATGTAAGAATGTTTAAACCGCCACTTAAAATTGATATAGCACATTCCCCTATTCTAAATAGATTTAAGGCAAATGTATATAGTGAAATATGTTCAATAATGATATCTCGGACGTATCTAAACATTGTGAAAGCAGAAGGTGTAACAGTATCCTATGTCAACCGAGAAATGAGTCGAGTAGCCTGAACTATGATCTGTTCAAAGATCCCTTGAAAAAGTCGTCTTCATCTTGTCTGTGTGGTGATGATTATGAAACTGCTATCCATTATCTTTTACAATATCCAATGGATAATGATAAGAGACCGACTTCAATAAATGAGGGTTTTTTTGTAAGTGCATCCGGTTAATCTTGATACTTAAATACTTCTTAATGGAAGCACTATGTTAAACAATATTGAAAATAAATATATACTTGATAGAGTTCTTAAAATTAAAACGGAAAGGCGAAGCCCAAAACTAGCGTTACTTTTTTTATCTCTGATATTTACTTATTCGATCAGAATGATATGATAATGATTTCATAATGAGATAAGATAATTTTTATTTAAAGTCGGCAAGTCGAAGAGTAACAATAAAACATAGGTTGAATTTTAAATTTTGCTACAGTCAACGAAGTTTGACAGGTAAGGATGCCAAAAGCAATTAAACAGTTTCTGCCTGTAACTAGTTATAAATCGGCACGCGTTGTGAAAAAGTAACACATTGCTGAAAAAAATACGTTAAACTCAATTCAATGACAAAACATGTGCTTTATTAACCCTGCTAGTATGTAGTCACGTGTCTAATCAAGGAGCGCAACTCTAATTAAACCTAATTTAATACGTTCACTACACTCAATAGTAGTCGTAGACTAATGGTGTGACGTCGACAACGGTGAGTTATGTACATGAACATGTACATCCAATAGTTACCTCCACGCGGCACAAAGGTGTAACGTGGAGTCACGGTCAACCGTGGCGTGGGAAAAACGTACCGATGGAACGTGGAAATCACATAACTGTTAATGAAAGCGCAGGGAGTATTAGTGTGGGAGGAAACCGGAGTACCCGAAGATAACCCAGGAGGTCGAGTAGGTGACCCTAAACCTTTTGAGATTTCTCCGGGTACTCCTGTTTCCTCCCACACTAAGACAGTTACAGGTTTGCCTTCATGCGCAAGTAGACAGTCTCTTTTATAAGAAAACCGGTTGGGAGAAACTGAGAATAGACTGAAGCAGATTTTTTTTTTTTATAAAATGCATTATAATTTATCGCGAAAACTAAACTGTCTGTAGGCAAGTTAGACGTAATACATACTAGCCTTCGTCACGGCTGTGGTGCTTTGGATGCAGATCTCTTAAAGTTAATCCAGTCTTATCTCCAGATTGTTACTGTTCTTATCCAGCAGAAAACAAACATCACTATCTTTTTCAGTGTAACCGATTTGATGAATGCCGTGCTACATTGTTCATAAAATTATCTAGATTTGGTATATATATTGATCTGGATGTCATATTGAATGGTTTTGATATACTGAGTCAGAAGGATAACGAAGCTATACGATTTTTTGTACAGGAATGTATATAAAACAAAAATACATTATTCATTATTTCATTATTCCCAACAATTTTATATTTTGTCTGTTACTCTGATATACATATATACATATGTAATACATCATTTAGCAATTATGCAACGTGTTAAAAGTCAACATATTCCTATTGCCAATTCTTGTATTTATACGACATTACTTTGTCAAATTATTGAAACTGTAATTGTTTATCATGTAAAAGTCACAAGAGTGGGTACTGGTATGTAAATACTATCTATTTCCATCTAGTATATTAACGTTACTTTTATGTATAAATATTATTGCATATAGTATGCTGCCCATTGCATTATTGATGCCATTATGTAATTGTTAATAGAAAAGGACGTTTTTAAGTTGTTATAACTTGTGTCCAATTCCTTTTGAATTATTTAAATAAAATATGTTTAAACTAAACATGAACATCTACATCCAAGGTTCCTCCACGCGGTACAAAGGTGTAACGTGGAGTCACCTCGCCTACTGCTCCACGCTTACTCCTCGTTCGCAGCAAACGTGTATAGCCGGTGGAGAGTGGATGATTTATTCTCCACGGTGGAGAGTGGAGTTGACTTTTAAATACCTCCCCTCCACGCTATAGAACGCTTCCGCGATACGGGGAGATCGTATGCCTCCACGCGGTGTGTAGTGTATAACAGATTTGATTGTCGCAGTTTAACTTCCGACATTTTCACCCTTTTCTCGAAAGACAATTTAAACCTGACAATTAATATTACATGTTGTACACAAAATACAACATATAGTAACTACATGTTAAAGGCGAAATTGATATTATTGGAAAATCATTTGTTTTGGCAAAGGGCGAATATTTTATAAAGGCGAAAGTTCCCCGGTATACTGTTATTGTATTTATTTTAAAAAGCATACAACCCTGCTAAAAATTTACCACAAACGTTGGCGCAATACTACGCATTGCTGTTACACAACTTTTATAACTGAAGGTGCTGTCCATCTTAACGTATCTATGACTTTTAATTACACGTCCGATAACGTGTTTAATTATATTTAACCCACGTTATTTATAAAAAGCTCTTTAATTACCACTATCTATGATTGTCGCTAAAATAATCATCAAAGCATAATCTACAACATATAAACAACCTACCTTTTTGTTCAGTCGAAATGAACGTCTGATCCGATGCACTCTACAAGATGTATGTAATTTATCCTGCACATACTCAGCCTTGTGTATTTCTTAATATGTGTGTCGATATATGCACGGTCTGATAGTTACACATATAAAAGGCCAAACATTGAGTCGTCAATCTTTACGCCACTTTTGGGAAATGAAATCTATTCGTGTTAGGATAACAAAAATGCGGAGTCAATTATTTTTTTCATTGTAGCCTACTAAGCGTAAAAACTGTATATTTCAGATTTTAAAAATGGTTTTACAATGGTAGGGGAAGTCTGCATTCAAGATTATATTTAGATATAGTTGCATACAGTCCTCTTAGAGCTCATAAGGTTAATGTATTTAAAAAGTGTTACGTTCATCTGCTAATCATAAAGGTTTTACCTCTATTTCCCCTATTGGGCCCGCCCCTCTGCCCCAAGGGGGGCCACACCCACCATTTATACAAAATTGAGTCCCCTTGGCCTAAGGATGCTCCAGACCATATTAAGTCAAAACTACTTGGCCGTTAAGGACTAGTAGCGTTTTAAAGGAAAAGTTGACGGACGGACGGACGACGGACGGACGACGGACGGTACGGTATGTCCTCTGGACCAGGTGAGCTAAAAAAACTCAAGGTTTTGAATGGGACAAAATAAACAGTAATGTCAACACACAGGGATAAAATATATAATAGTGCCAACACCTAGGACAACATATACAATAGTGTCAACACATAAGGGTAAAATATATAATAGCGTCAACACACATGGATAAAATATATAAAAGTGTCAACACCCAGGACAAAATAAACAGTAGTGTCAACACACAGGACAAAATATATAATATTATAAACACACATGACAAAATATATAGTAGTGTCAACACCCATGACAAAATATATAATAGTGTCAACACACACAGGACAAAATAAACAGTAGTGTCAACACACAGGGTAAAATTATATAATAGTATCAACACACAGGGGTAATACATATAATAGTATCAACACATAAGGGTAAAATATATAATAGTGTCAACACACATGGATAAAATATACAATAGTGTAAACACATAAGGGTAAAATATATAAAAGTGTCAACACACAAAGATAAAATATATAATAGTGTCAACACTCAGGACAAAAAAAACAGAAGTGTCAACACACAGGACAAAATATATGATAATATAATATTATCTAGAAACAGGACAAAATATACAGGACAATATATATAATAGTGTCAACACACACAGGACAAAATATATAATAGTGTCAACACACACAGGACAAAATAAACAGTAGTGTCAACACACAGGGATAAAATATATAAAAGTGTCAACAGAGAGGACAAAATAAAAAGTAGTGTCAACACACAGGACAAAATATATAATAGTATCAACACAAAGGAAAAAATATATAATAGTGTCAAAACACAGGACAAAATATATAAAAGTGTCAACACACAGGACAAAATATATAATATTATCTAGAAACAGGACAAAATATACAGTAGTGTCAACACACAGGGATAAAATATACAGTAGTGTCAACACACAGGGATAAAATATATAATAGTGTCAACACACAGGACAAAATATACAGTAGTGTCAACACACAGGGATAAAATATACAGCAGTGTCAACACATAAGGGTAAAATATACAGTACAGGGATAAAATATACAGTATAAGGGTAAAATATACAGTAGTGTCAAACCATAAGGGTAAAATATACAGTACAGGGATAAAATATACAGCAGTGTCAACACATAAGGGTAAAATATACAGTACAGGGATAAAATATACAGTATAAGGGTAAAATATACAGTACAGGGATAAAATATACAGCAGTGTCAACACACAGGGATAAAGTATACAGTAGTGTCAACACACAGGACAAAATATACAGTAGTGTCAACACACAGGGATAAAATATATAACCCTGTCAACACACAGGACAAAATATATAATAGTGTCAACACACAGGGATAAAATATATAAAAGTGTCAACACACAGGGATGAAATATACAGTAGTGTCAACACACAGGGATTACATATATAACAGTGTCAACACACAGGACAAAATATATAATAGTGCCAACACACAGGGATAAAATATACAGTAGTGTCAAAACATAAGGGTAAAATATACAGTAGTGTCAACACATAAGAGTAAAATATACAGTAGTGTCAACACACAGGGATAAAATATACAGCAGTGTCAACACATAAGGGTAAAATATACAGTAGTGTCAACACACAGGGGTAAAATATACAGTAGTGTCAACACACAGGGGTAAAATATACAGTAGTGTCAACACACAGGGATAAAATATACAGTAGTGTCAACACACAGGGATAAAATATACAGTAGTGTCAACACACAGGGATAAAATATACAGTAGTGTCAACACACAGGGATAAAATATACAGTAGTGTCAACACACAGGGATAAAATATACAGTAGTGTCAACACACAGGGATAAAATATACAGTAGTGTCAACACACAGGGATAAAATATACAGTAGTGTCAACACACAGGGATAAAATATACAGTAGTGTCAACACACAGGGATAAAATATACAGTAGTGTCAGCACACAGGGATAACTTATACAGTAGTGTCAACACATAAGGGTAAAATATACAATAGTGTCAACACACAGGGATAAAATATATAACAGTGTCAACACACAGGGATAAAATATACAGTAGTGTCAACAAACAAGGATAAAATATACAGTAGTGTCAATACTCAGGGATAAAATATACAGTATAAGGGTAAAATATACAGTAGTGTCAACACATAAGGGTAAAATATACAATAGGGCCAACACACAGGGATAAAATATATAACAGTGTCAACACACAGGGATAAAATATACAGTATAAGAGTAAAATATACAGTAGTGTCAACAAACAAGGATAAAATATCCAGTAGTGTCAATACTCAGGGATAAAATATACAGTATAAGAGTAAAAAATACAGTAGTGTCAACACATAAGTGTAAAATATACAGTAGTGTCAACACATAAGGGTAAAATATACAGTAGTGTCAACACATAAGGACAAAATATACAGCAGTGTCAACAAACAGGGATAAAATATACAGTAGTGTCAATACACAGGGATAAAATATACAGTAGAAGGGTAAAATATACAGTAGTGTCAACACATAAGTGTAAAATATACATTAGTGTCAACACATAGGGATAAAATATACAGAAGTGTCAACACATAAAGACAAAATATACAGTTGTGTCAACACATAAGTGTAAAATACACAGTAGTGTCAACAAACAGGGATTAAATATACAGTAGAAGGGGAAAATATACAGTAGTGGCAACACATAAGGATAAAATATACAGAAGTGTCAACACATAATGACAAAATATACGGTAGTGTCAACACATAGGGATAAAATATACAGAAGTGTCAACACATAAGTGTAAAATATACAGTAGTGTCAACACATAAGGACAAAATATACAGTAGTGTCAACACATAAGTATAAAATATACAGTAGTGTCAACACATAATGACAAAATATACAGTAGTGTCAACACAAAAGGGTAAAATATACAGTTGTGTCAACACATAAGGGTAAAATATATAGTAGTGTCAACACATAAGGGTAAAATATACAGTAGTGTCAACACACACAGGACAAAATGTACTATAACTATGCACAAATACGAGACTAGACTACACAAAAACATCAACACGCAACGATACCATGCTACAAAATGTTTAATACAAAAAGACGAAATGTTACGAAATCGTCAACACTCAAATACAAAAAATACCAGAGCATCGACGCTATTGTTTGTATTGAGTTCATCGTCCACGGTTATATGAAGTCTGATACCTAGGAAAACACCACAGAAACGGAAGGAAAATATAGGTCAAATAGCTGCTTCTTGGGCAGCAGATAAATTCTGCTTTCTGCAATGCCCTGTTAGCAAAAGCACAAGGTAAACTCTCCAATTCTGCAGACATATTTATATAGTTATTGTAGGGACAAATCTTAACAAACTAAACAACAACTCATCAAGAAAAAATAGGACGGAGATGTTTATAATTTTGAAAAAACTATTATAGATTTCCAAAATTATCATCCATATAACAAACTAACCCTTGTCGTATCAGTAGCATGCTTGTGACAACAGGCAGAACTAATGTGAGGATTAGGAACTATTTTCTTCTGAAGTCGGTGGTTTATAGTTTTAATTTAGCATGGCCACCGTGCATGGTTTGGTTTCATTTGATAGAATAGGGTTGAACGCCTATAAACAGTGATGGTTATCGTCTTACCAGGCGTCTTAGTGACAGAAACAAAATACCAGCGTGTGTTCTGTAACAAAGAGAATAACAATGAACTTATAGACATAGCCACACGTTTATCCATACACTCTTTTAAATTTATGTTCCTGTCGTCTTTTATAAGTCATAAGCAAGTCGACCTTTTTCGTGAGACGCTACTTAGGTAAGAAGTTAATTAAGGATCCCTGTCCCACTGCACTGTGATATTTTGTATACAGTTATCTCCCCTTAATTTCGTTTAGTTGATTCTATTTTTTATTTCATTGTATAAAGAAAATATTTGTTTATTATACAACGTATATACATGTAAGTATATAAAGGATGCATGATGGACAATATAATACTGACATGTATTTTCAATACAACATGCTAGCATTATTCGGTATATAATTCAGTTGGACTGGTGATACACTTTAAGCCAGCTGGCAAGAATGGTACACAAACTTTTGCCAGGGTATGAGGTCCATTTCAAATATTCCCTCCTTGTGATTATTTTTAGCCAAATATACTTTGCAGCATCAATGTGGCGAGGAGTTTAGCGGTGTATAAACCAATGATTTGCCCCCGTCCTTGGTACCCAAAAGTAGGTATGGATCATCACCAAATTGATTCAATGTTGTAATCATAAAACTGAAGACTGAAGAATCGATGGTCTAAAGAAATTCATGTGGGCGGAGTTCGTTGGAGGGTATTGGGGTCAATCTTGAACAATC